GGCCCGGCCCGGCCTGGCCTGGCCTGGCCTGGCTTGGCCTGGCCTGGCCTTGTCCTACCTGGCCCCGGCCCGCTCCGGTACAGCAGCTGTCGTGTCTCCGCAGGTACTACTCCGGCGAGAAGAAGGCCCCGGTCCTCACGGTGTTCATCGGTGGGAACCATGAGGCGTCCAACCACCTGCAGGAGCTGCCCTACGGCGGGTGGGTGGGGCCCAACCTCCGGCGGGTGGGGGCCCCCCAACATCTACTGCCTCGGTAGGGTCCCCCGCCGGCTCCCGGCGGCGTTTTCCCTTCCAACCCCTTGCCCTGCCCCGGCCGCGCCGTGACGAGCCGCGCTTCTGTTTCCCCTAGGTTACGCGGGCGTGGTGCGGTTCCGCGGCGTGAGGATCGGCGGCATCTCGGGCATCTTCAAGTCTCACGACTACCGGAAAGGTATTGGTGGGACAGAGCGGGCGCGGCTGGGTGGGCCGGGGAGGGGAGCACTGGGCCCGAGCCGTCGCGGGAGGATCTGGCTGTTCATCCTCTTCTCTGAACCGACTCTTATGGTGGAATACTCCTTTGGCTCAACACGCAGATTTTTCTGGAGGCGGTAGATGAGTTGGTAGCTGTCTGGCCACCACAGCAGGAAGCAGTGTGCCTTTTGAATGTTGTTGTTGGAACAGTCTTGATTTTTCCATGGCAGTGTCCTTTTAGCATGTGATGTGAGACTGTTTAGTTTTCCTTGTGTGAAACAATTTATAAGTGTGATATTGTACAAATGTACTGTCCTGAGCTGAGGCTTAGTGTCAGTACATCTTGAGATCGGTTCCTTCTGGTTATATGTATGTGTATTCAAGAGTTCTTCCTTGGAAGGGTCTCCATCAGTGGACAGAAATCTTATCACAGATGATACCTGGTGTCAGCAAATAGAAGATAGTTTAGTTTTTCTGATCTCCTCAACGCATGAAATAGTGGTCTCTTACTTGCGATTACTGTACAGTAATATTATCTTTAATAACATACTGCTTCAGAGAAGCTTTGCAGATGGCTTTCAAGCTGCAAAGTACTGAACTAGTTTCCTAGAACACCTGATTCTATCTAATACCTATCAGTGCTAATTAAATTTGTTGTTATCAAGCATACAGTTTGTATGCCTGAATATTTCATGTGGGAGATAAGACTTTTTTGACAATAATGCTAACTACTAAAAAAGTAATTTTTCTGTTTATTCTTAAGAATACGTAGGAGCTCTGCTAGGCATTCAGGTTTCTTGTCCCCAGGCAAAGTTGGAGACTACGTCCCTTTTGACAGGGTACATGTTTGCGCTTCCAGAGTCTGTGGTGCCTGTGGGCAGTTACAGGCATGTTTAAGCTGCTGCCAAATCTGTTAAGCTGTAGTTTCATGGTTGGTGGCAGCACTCTTAAAGAAACACAAAAAGTCACAGCCTCAGTGGCCTGAGTCAGGAGTCAGATCTCATGCAGTGCTTTGTGATCTTTTAGTTTATACCTCTTTCTGAGTTGTTACGTCCTAACTTATGTTCTGATCACTGACCACTCATAGAGGCTTGCTCTGTGCTCTCACTATGTCAATGCCCAACTTCTGCTTGTTCCTGTCTGCCTTATGTTCTTTGGCTGTGCCAGCATGTTTGCATGTGTAGCTGTGGTATTAGTAGATACATATGTTTCGTGGCTGTGCAGCGAACAGCTCTCTATATATGTGATTGCACATGGCTATGCAGTGTAACTGTGGAGGTAAGGGGTGTGGGGAAGTAATGAGGGGTGTTATCTCACCAGAGAGGTACAAAATCTCATTCAGGAATTAAGCACATAAATCTTTCTGCCAAAAGTTTCTTCTTTCAGACAGGTCCTGGGTTGCATTGGTGTCAAACTCCCATTTTTTGTTTCCACAACTGAATTACTTTATTCTCTATATTTATGAAAATAAGACACAGAATGGAAGAAACGCTCATTGTTGTAGACACATTTTTACAACATATTTGCCTCACACATGAAAAGTTAGCATCCTGTTGGTGTAAGCCTCGTGTAAAGGAAATACAGTATCTCCTTTGATTATTGGCAGCCTTGTATTTGGGATTGCTCTAGGTGTCTATATGACCCCAGGAAGCTAGCTTGCAAACAGCGTTAGGAGGGAACTATTGATTCAGGCAACTAGTCTTTTTTTCCAATGTTTCAGGCCACTTTGAGTGTCCACCATACAACCAGCAAACAATTAGAAGCGCTTACCATGTGAGGAATATTGAAGTCTTCAAACTCAAGCAGGTTTGTGAAAAATCTATTTGTTTAAACAGCGGTAAATAGTTTTCATTAATTTAGAAGTAGGGTGTTAAAGCTACTTTGCAGAAGTATGCTATTGGATAGCAAATCTTGCCAACAGCTCCCAGCTAATCTGGACAGGCCATTTTATGCTGGGTGTTATTCCACTGTTGTTTCTGCTGAATATCTTCTCCAACGCTTTGTGTAGCAGTGCAGATTTGATCTGAATCAGGAACAGGCAGGAGTGTTTTTTTGGTGTGTTTTTTTTTTTTTAATTCAATAAAATTCACAGAATGGAAGGTACGCCAGCTATACACCTCTGTTCCAGCTTTGTGTTAGCTTTAGGAAGATGGATGCTACCTTGTCTAACATGCAAGCTGGTTGGTACAAAGTTAACCAGTCAAAATTAAATGAGCTGAATAAGCTGATCCCAAATTTTTGTGGTTGCAGTATTTTTGACTCCAGGGCGAGAAATTCAAAGGACAGATTAGCTTTATTTTTGAGCTATTACCTACTCCCTGCATTGTCACAAGGGCTACTCCGTTTGGCTGAGGTTGTGGTATGAATACGTGTATTTATAAGCATCTTGTGAATGATTATTCAGGTTGCAGTTGCACACTTAACTGTTCAGTAGATACAGGGATGCTGAAGATAGGACAAAGGTTTGCTGTCATTGTAAAGAGTTTGATGCATTTCACTGTAAGTTTCTTATTAGTTGGACTTGGGTTTCATCTAGAAGTGTGTTCTGATACAGCTGATGAAAATATGCTGAATGTTGAACCAAGACATGCTTAAGACATTGATTAGACTTCTGAGGGGTGCTTCCTTTGAGGAGGAATGTCGTGCTTAGCCGTTATCCCTTTTAAACAAAGCTTTTAAAAAATTTAATGAGGAAGAAGATGCCTTTGATTGTGGGTAGAGAACTTGCTCTATAGCTGTAATTTTTAAGTCTTCTGAGTGCCTCACACTTACTGTGATGATACGATCTCTTTATAAGGCAGTTTATGTAAAACACAGCTGACTGTCCCAAGAAGGCGTAGTACAAACCGTGGAGACTAGAGTCCCTTAACAAATTCAAAGGGCACCTGAAAGATGAGGCTCTGGTATACTTACTTGGTTTGAAAGTGAGGCTATTGGTCACAGCTAACTCTGTATTGATCTGAGGTAGAACATGTTACACATGTTCCATCTTGTGCTGTGTAATTTCAAAACTTCTTTATCATATGTGTTTTATTTATACTGTATGCATTTTGGCTTGACAGTTAAAGCGTCCAATTGATATATTTATGTCACATGACTGGCCAAGGAGCATATATCACTATGGAAACAAGAAACAGCTTCTTAAAATGAAATCCTTCTTCCGTCAAGAAGTGGAGAGCAACACATTAGGAAGCCCTGCTGCTTCAGAGCTTCTGCAGCATCTGAAACCCACCTACTGGTTCTCAGCACATCTTCATGTTAAATTCGCAGCTTTCATGCAACACCAGGTAAAAGGGGGAAAAAAATCAAGAATATATGTGTCCCAAGCACATTTTAGAATTCCAATGCAGGTAATCATGTCTGGAAAAGCAGCTTCTTAATGTTTTTGCTCGGTTATTAAAACTCAGCTTAAGCTGCAAAACATTAAGTGGTGTTAAGACTACTAGCTTACGTAAGTTAAATAGATGTTATAAATCAGCAGTCTAACTACCTAATCTTCTTCAGGGACAGTGTGAAATAGCTAATATTACTGCACTTGAAACTTCTTAATTTATAGAAAAGCACTCTCTTTCCCACTTCATTGGGGAAGGAGACAACTTCAAAGCAAGGTGATAGAGAAGTGATTGAAAAGAAGGTAGTGGTTAACCGGGGATGGGAGGATGCCTGTAGTAAGGCTTGACAGATGAAGCTGTCTGGTGGCCCGGGTAAAGCCAAAACCAGCCCGTGTAGGTTGAAATGTCTCTTGGTTTGAGTTATTCCTGAAAGTGGTGTGATGTGCTATTGCCATTTGCAAGTTATTTAGCTGTAAAAATGTAACTAGACCTTCTAGACTCAACAGGTCTGTTTCCAATTATGTTGAAGTTTTTTCTTTTTGCTTTAAGGCTAGGTTTGCTGAGCTGCCTTGGTTAAGAATGAAGTGTGGCTCTTGCTTTATCTTGCTGTCATCTGCATCCAGCTTCCTGTTAGACTTCCAGTGAAGTCTGTCTTTCTCTTTGTCCCTCTGTCCCTTTCTTATAATCCCGTGCTGATTTTCTATTTCAGAAAGTCTTTTTTCTGTATAAATTATGCCTTTAAATCTCTCTATATAACTTGTCTAGTATGGTCAAATATCATAGAAATGCTAATGACTGTGTTAACACCATTTGTTTCCTAGACAAACTCCAAAGAAGAGCTACCAAAAGCAACAAAGTTTTTGGCTCTGGATAAATGCCTGCCGCATAGAGACTTTCTGCAGGTGATGACCACGTGCAGTGGGTTTTCGCTTTTTAAGTACTTCACTTGTCTGGACTGCTAAGTGCTGTGCTTAGCTATAAGCTGAAGAATAGTTCTGATAAATGGAGGATATGGAAAGAAACTAGGAATGGTGCATGTGTGGAATGGTCTTTGTATAATAGTGTCTTGAAATAAGCAGACCTTGCGTCCTGTCATGCAGGCACAGTGTTTGCTTATTCCTACCATTTCCTTCCACCTTAGAGCAAGTACTTGACTTAATTGGAGGAGTAGCTCTACTTTAACCTGAATTGAATCTCCTCTTGCGGTTTTTTGACAAATGTCAAACCTAAGAAGAAAGCCCATCTTGAGGCTCTTCTTCTTTCACAGTTTAGTTTGGGTCAGCTAGTGCCTCTTTATTCAGAACTGGATTCATGAGTTCAGACAGGATTGAGTCTCAAGTTAAGTACTGTAATTTCCTTTAGTATTGTGAATTCCAGCAGGAACTGGTGTGACTTCCTGGGAGAATGGCTCTGCTTCTTTTTGTTTGGTTCTGATATTTTCTGATAACTTGGCTACAAAGGGCAGTGGACAAGTAGGAGGTCTAGGTTGTGGGAATTTTCAATATGAGTGCCAAACTGATTTGCCAAGAGCAAAACAATGTTCCTGTGTGTGCTGCCTGCAATGCCATCTGTAAAATCTCAAATGGATGAATTTAAAATCCTTCGCTATGAGAGGGAGCTGCTGACAGCATGTTCTTCAAATGCAGTCAAGTGTTTTAGTAGTCTAAAGTAGCTTTTATTTGTCAACGTAATGGGAAGATGGTTCAGATAATGAACATCCTTTGGATGTGTGGTGGGATCCATTTGCCCTAGTAGCTACTTCTGAAGATGGGAGAGAGTGTGAGGATGGGCTTTTGCTATGCAAAGGTACACTGGGGGTGCTAGTCCAGACTTAAAATCCTGTAGCAAAACTGATCTGGAGTAGTACTACCTCCAGCAGTGTGGTGATGCACCTGTGTGTAGCTCTGGTTTAAAGTGTATCCTTTTTTTTTTTTTTTTTTTTTTCCCCCTCCTCCTTTCCTCCTAAAGCTACCTTAAAAAGTTGAATTACTTTATGGATTATTTAAAATCAGGGCCTGACTAGTGCAGTTTGGCTAAACCAAATGATTTGATTCAAGTTAAAGTCGCTGAAGACAAAGTGATTTGGATTTCAATTTGTCAGCTGTTGAAGGAGTTTAAAAACATTTCACGTTAATTTCATTGCTATGCTAAGAATGTGTGTTTATACAGCAGAATAACTGTTGCTATTAATTCTTGATGTATTTCTGCTTAGAAGGTGGCATGAAAGAGTAGGCAAATTCTGGTTTCTAAGTTGCATTAACTGTCCAGTAGCTGGCAGTAGGGAGGAACGTGTTCTGCTTTGTAGTTGCTGGAAGCTAAAATACGGAAATGCCTTTTTTACCTTTGTTGATTGTCCTTTCTTACTCCCTTATTGCTATAAACTTTTATGTAGGGCTAACTTGAGAGGACTTCTTTGAGACCACTAGCTCAGCGTACTTGAAACAATTAAAACTCTGTACCACACAAGTAACACTTCAAACTTTTAATCAGTTTCTGATGTCAAGAGAAATAACTCACTTCATCTGTTTTCTGGTTTTTTTAAACAGATAATAGACATAGAACATGATCCTAGTGCAGGTGACTCGCTGGAGTATGATGCTGAGTGGATTGCAGTCCTCAAGGCCACCAACAGTCTTGTTAATGTGACTCAAAGCTCATGGAATATGCCTGAAAAGAATGGCCTCCATGCAAAGTAAGTTGCATGCAAAGTAGAGAGGAAAGCGTGATTTTGCTGGACTGGAAGTAAACTTGTCTTAGAGTTGTGTTTCTCTGTTCTGCAGCCTATAATGTCTGTAGGACTTGCTAAATGCCTTGGAAAACAAAGGGAATGGTGACAAGAGCTGTACTCTACAGCATACAACTTCTTTACTGCTCTACACGGGCAGTTAGTTTTGTTTTTCAAACTTAAATACCACCATTTGAGGGGCAAAAAACCCATGGTGTCTGATCATCTTGCCAGTTACACGGTGAGACGGAAAATCACGCTGGATATAGGGGTGGGCAGGTGAATGCTTATTGAGTGGGTTGACATAATAAACAAATACTTGGTGGGGGGGAGAGGGGAATCTCAGTATTGGCCAAAGGCAGTATACTTTCCTGAAAAATCATTTGAGAAATTAGGTGTCTGTTGTAAGATGAATTTATTATCCATCTTTAAAAGTTTCTCTTTGCAGTGGGAACAGGAAATACCTTTTGACTAACTGCACTTGTTTTAATTTTATACACTTATTTAGGTGGGATTACAGTGCAACAGAAGAAGCCATCAAAGAAGTGTTAGAAGAATTGAATCATAACCTCAAAATTCCTTGTAACTTCACGTTGACAGCTGCTTGTTATGATCCCAGCAAGCCCCAAAAACACGTGGAACCTGTTCATACCATCAATCCACAGACCACTGAGTTTTGTGCCCAGTTTGGCCTCACTGACATCAATGACAGGATCCAGCAAGCTAAAGAAGAGGGCTCAGTACGAGGAGAATATGAAGAGGAGGAGGAGGAAGAGGAGATGGACAGTACTGGGTCAGCAGAAGAACCCAGTGAATATAATACAGATAATTCTGGACTTTCATCCATTAATCCAGATGAAATAATGCTGGATGAAGAAGGTGGCGATGAAGATTTGAGTACATGTTCTGTAGATCCTTCCCCTGATCATCCCCCTGACTTTTCTGCAAGTTTTTCAGACATCCGGATCATGCCAGATTCCATGGCGGTATCGTCTGATGATGCTATGGATTCTACTAATGAGGAACTGGAGAAATCTGGTGTGAGTAAGCAGGTGGAAGAGAAGAGCTTAAATGAGAGACCATTAAAGCGTATTGGTGGTAATGAAAATGGAAACAGTGGCATTAAAAAAATTAAGAGAAGGAATCAAGCTATCTATGCTGCAGAGGATGAAGATAAAACAGAATAATACTTCATATGATGTATAAATAAGATCTCTCCGTACCTTTTTATGGGAAGGTGGTGAGACCTGTCGTGGACTACTCATGCTTTTAATGTTTCTTGATCTCATTTATGTTACTTAAGCTGAAGAGGCTGTAGGAACCTCTTGCAGGAAAGATGATTTATCTGGATTAAACATCGAAGTCAGAAGCAGACTTTTCCAACAGCGCTTTGTCAGAGGATTTAAAGCTCATGTATAATCAGTTGATTTTGCTTCAGTTCTTGGTTATTAGTGTATACTATGTATCTTCAGCCGTACTGCTATACAAGATTCACCATGCTTGTTTAACAAGAAAAGAACTCTTAAACTATAACTCAAGTCAAAGTGACAGGATGTCTGACGTACAAGACTGAATTATTTGATTTTATTGCTTTTGTCTTGTTTTATACTGACCTTTTAATACAAAGTAGCATATGCAATAACTCTGTGAACTAAATTTGAAAATAGAATTCCCATGATAACAAAACAGCAATAGAAGAGTGAAGATTTTTGTTTCTGGTGATATTCATGCCATAGAAAAACTTCATGGTCATAAACAAAACAATGTGTATTGGCTTTTAATTACAGTTTTGGTAGGGAACCAAGTCTCTTCATTTGAAGCATGACAGTTTTATGGGGACCATGGAAGAGTGCATGTGTCTGTTCTTAAAAACTCACTTGTGTGCTGTTTCTTAAAACTTGAGAACCACGTCTTAAAATTAAAATGCAAGTAGTTAGGATGAACAGCTTCCTAAATGTGGACATCATCACTGTCTCAAGTCTTAGTAGTTAAGGCTGTGTTGTATTTTTATATAAGGTGGTTGATGTTTATAAGTTACTTGAGACATTATCATTAGCCTAAGTTTTCACTTGTCACTTCTTTTCAGTAGTGTGTAACTTGCCAAATTCTTACAACTGGATTTAGAATCTTCAAAGTACCTTCATAAACTTCAGCTGAGGGAGAACAGGAGCTGCCAGAATACAGATCCTCTTGGAAGTTTTCTTTTTACTGTTCTAGTTTGCCCTGAATTATTAGCAAGCAAATTACACTCCTTTGGCTTAAAAGGCTGTGAGGATAACAAAACTTCCTGAAGTCATGAAAATGACAGTGTTTTCAAGAACCGTAGCATATGTCATTAGACTCATTAGTTTTACTGTGAAGTTCTGCTGGCTTTCTGTGCTGAGCTTTCAGAGTCCAGACAGAGCAGGACTTCCTCATGACTCTGCTGCCCTTGAGAGCAGAGGTAGCTCCCACGTGCTTTTACTCCTCTAAGGCACAGGCACTGTGGAGAAGAAAGCGTCCTGACAGGAAGAGGGAACTGGACAGGGAGCCATGAGTAAAATGGATTTGGTGAGTGTGAGTTATGTAGCAGGGAAACACTTCAAGGCCAAGACTTCTGTCTTTAAAATCACTTCCACATTCTGGAATTCATCTTGGTTCCTCTCCTGTCAGCAGTTCACTATGAAAATTAAATGCGTATAAGTATTCAAGAGCTAGAAAATGGCAAAATTTATGCTCTCCACAGTTTGTTTAACAGCTTTATACTGGTGGGTTGATGCCATTAACATCCTGTTTTTTTTCCAGAGGACACTATCTTGTTTACTAAATGATTAGTTGGGCCCTCTTAATACTGTTCCTCTATCTCTCTATGCCTGCTCATCTGTTAGAACACCCACCAAAGAGAACTGTGGTAAGATGTGATGAAAAATTGGAAGTGTTTGGTGTGTAACCCTCAGGTTATCTAAAGTAGCTGTGAACTATCGGCTAGATTACTCAAGATTGTTGAGTATCTTTAAGGGTCCTGGATCTGCAATGCTAAAATCTTAAGCATGCCTCATGAACTGAAGACTATAATGGAAATAAAGTATTTTAAGTATAAATTGTGTTATGAACTTGAAAAGTCTCCCAAGAAATCTGAGCATGGTATTCAGCTGTCAAATTCTACATGAACTGGAATGGAAGATGTATGTTACACGTAATAGACTTTTTAGTCTGATTTCATATGTTTTTAAAGCAAATTATTCTGTCGTGTGTTGTCCCCTGTCCTCCCCTTTCTGCTAAATGTGTTTTGGCTTTCTGGAAAGCAGGAGACTTTGACAAGATAGAATACTGATTTATTTATTTATTTAAAAAAAATCTTTAAAGATTTTTTCTTTTATAAAGTATTTCAGCATCCGTTGAGCAGAGTGCAGCTGGTAAATATAGTTAACATAAAATTTTTTTTGAGTACGAATCGTGTCTGATCTATAGAGTTACTGTGCCCTTTCTTGCAGCTGTTCACACCCTCTTCGCAGTTTGAAGTGTCCCGCTCTACTGTGCTCTTGTCCGTTATGGATTTTCCATGTCAGCAAGATCCTCTGCTGCACGTAGAATTCAATTGAAGCTCTGAACTTGAAGCTTCCCCATTAAAGACGACCAAATACTCCAAAAAGTAAGTAAAACACTAGGGAAGGCTGCAAAGTTTAATCGGTTCTTAAGACCCAGAGTCTTCAGTCCTCTTTAAAAGGAAGCTTTAAATTCTTTCTGAAAACACTTGACTCTTTAAATTTTGGTGAGAAACAGCTGGAAAATGTTTCTCTGTCAGACTCTCATACAAGTTATAACCACAGATTTTTCAGTATGAGACTTGCACTTAGTCTAAAAATGTTTTTGCTGTTACCTATAAAGTGCTTGAGAAAAGTGTTCACCTGTTTCATTCCAGGCCAGCACACAGATATTTTGTTCAAAGCATGTTATTAATCTACTTGGAGTAAAACAAACTAAGAAAAGGAGTATTGCTTTTTTTCATGAGACGTGGAGGTTTTTTTTAATTAAAGCTATTAAAGTCAACTTGTGGCAGCATCCCAAAGTATGTTTATTATGCTCCCATTATCCTCTGCAATCTCTAACAGCTGACAAACCTGCATTTACCTCACAGTAGCAAAAGTTGACAGCGTGAACCCTGACGTGATGTTTTTACTACCCTCCCTCCCCCATTTAATTCTGTCTTCAGGAGCAATGAGTTCATAGAATTAGTATCCCCGTGCCTCAAGATGTAAAATACGGGGGGACTAATACCAAAATATCAGATCTTACAGAAGTCTGTAGCAAAACTGAGTGAAGTCCTGGGTTTTTTGGGGTGTTTTTTGCAAAAACCCAACCCAAAACCAAACAAATTCACAAAAGCAACAAAAACAATGACAAAAAAGGAACCCAAACAGTCTATTCTATGTGCAGCAAGGCTGAGGATGGTAAGTGGCATGCCATGCCTGTGTCCCGGATGAAGATTGTGCCCGAGGAGATGGTTCTCAACAACTCTAGCTCTCCATATACCTGGTGTGAATGAATCGCCAACCGATGCCCCACTCAGGCCGTCTTCATTATATTCCAGGAACTCCACACAGACAGGGGCAAGACCCAGGATGAGGATGTGTCAGGAGAACCCGCAAAACTCCATGATTTCCACTAGTCAGAATATAAGGTAGTCAAAGCTAAACCTGGTTGCTTGTATCAAAAGGCGAGGCTGTTGCTGGACAGCTGAGGGGCTCCCCTGAAAGCCGTGCTAGTGTCCCTGTCCCACAGGGTGCAGAAGGGGGACTAGGAAAACAGCAGGGGGGGGGCGGCTGTTACGGTGCTGTGTGGGAAGCCTGTGGTAAGGTCAGCCTCCCCCTGCCTCAGTGTCAGGGCTGCAGTCGGATGAAGCCAGTCACCCAGCCCCACGTTCGCCGTCTTCCTGGAGGGCTGGCGGGGTAAGCTCTGCAGGGGGGCTGAGAGCACTGAGGTGGGAGAGCTGAGGAAAATAACAAGGGCTGAGTCAGTCCCCTGAGCTGTCTGCGCCTCCGCAGGCAGCTTCATCGCTCCCAGCTCCCCGAGGCCCGCGGGCATGGCGGAGGCAGCGTTTTCCACCCCAAAGG